GCCAAAGTTGCTGAATGCTCAGAAACTTCATTTGACTTTTTCATTGAATACTTTGCAACACCATGTGTGTGTTCACAGCAGCAATTGGTCGGCCAACCCTCAGTTGACTTATTCTGCAACACATGTGTGTACGTGCTCGCAGCAGCACTCGACCTGCCAAAGTCTTAAAAACCATCAACGCACCAGTGTATGCCCACAGCAGCAGTTGATCGGCCAACCCTCGACCCTAGGGTGCTCCTCTCGATTGACTTCTTCTGCAACACACATGTGTGTTGGTGCTCAAAACAGCAATTGGCTTGGCCATTGGTCGGCCAACCTTCACTTGATTTCTTCTGCAACACATGTGTGTATGTGCTCACAGCAGCACTCGGTCTGCCAAAGTTTTTAAGATGATCGAAGCTTCAATTGACTTGTTCTGCACCAGACATGTGTGTATTCAGAAACACAAATGTGTATGCCCACAGCAGCAGTTGGTCGGCCAACCTTGACCCTTTGTGCAATCCAACAATGGACTTCTTCTGCAACAACCATTTCTGTGTGCTCGCCGCAGCAACTAGTGTGCCAAAGCTGTTGAATGTTCAGAACTTTCATACGCAGCTGCATTTCTGGATGGAACTATTCTGCAACACTCATGTGTGCGTTCACAGCAGCTATTGTTCGGCCAACTGTCAGTTCACTTTTTCTGTAACATTTGTGTGTGTGTGTGTGTGCTTACAGCGGCACTCGGTCTGCCAATATTTTAGAATGATTAAAGCTTCCATTGACTTGTTTTGCACCAGACATGTGTGTATGCAGAAACACACATGTGCATGCCCACAGAGGCAATTGGTCGGCCAATCCTTGGCCCTTGGGTTGAGGACCTTATTCTGCAACACACACGTGTGTGTTCACAGCTGCAGATGGTCAGTCAATCTTCTGTTGACTTCTTCTGCAAGACATGTGTGAGTTGACTTGTTTTGCATCAAACATGTGTGTGTTTGTGGAAAGACAGGTGTATGCCCACAGAAGCAAGTGGTCGGCCAACCCTTGACCCTTGGGTTCAGAACCTTCACATTGTTCACAGCAGCAGTCCGTCGGCCCACCTTCAGCTGACCTCTTCTGCAGCACATCTGTGTATGTGCTCACAGCAGCAATCGGTCTGCCCAAATTTTTGAAACGATCCAAACTTCAACTGCTTTGTTCTGCACCAGACATTTGTGTGTGTGTATGTCTTCAGAATTACACATGTGTATGCCCACAGCAGCAGTTGGTCGGCCAACCCTGGACCTGACCCTTGGGTGCTACCCTCAGTTGTTTTATTGTGCAACACACGTGTGTGTGTGTGCTCACAGCAGCAACTGGCTTCTTCGTTGCAGTATTTATTCTGCAACACAAACGTGTGTGTTCACAGCTGCATTGGTCGGTCATTTTGTTTTTAGTAACTTCTTCTGCAACACATGTGTGTATTTGCTCACAGCAGCACTCGGTCTGCCAAAGCCTGTAACATGATCGCAGCTTCAATTGATTTGTTCTGCACCAGACATGTGCATATTCAGAAACACACCAGTGTATGCCCACAGCAGCAGTTGGTCGGCCAACAGTCGAATCTTGGGTGCTCCCTTCGATTGACTTCTTCTGCAACACACATGTGTGTTTGTGCTCAGACCAAGAATGGTTTGCCAAAGTTGCTGAGTGCTCAGAACCTGAACTTGACCTTTTCGTTGGGTTAATTTGCAACACACACGTGTGTTCACAGCAGCAATTGGTCGGTCAATCTTCTGTTGACCTCCTTTGCAAACCCATGTGTGTGTGTGTGCTCACAGCAGCGATCGGCCTGCCCAAGTTGTTGTTCTGCACCAGACATGTGTGTATTCAGAAACACACATGTGTATGCCCACAGCAGCAATTGGTCGGCCAGCCCTTGACCCTTTCGCAGCCTAATAATGGAGGGAGTTTTTTTTTGTAACAACCATTTGTGTGTGCTCACCGCAGCAATTGGCCTGCCAAAAAGTTGTTGAATGTTCAGAACCTACACTTAAGTTCATCGTTGGATTTTGCTGCAACACCATGTGTGTGTGTTCACAGCAGCAATTGGCCGGCCAGCCTCAGGTGATCTCTTCGCAAACACATGTGTGTGTGCTCACAGCAGCAGTCGGTCTGCCAAAGTTTCTAAAATGATCCAAGCTTCAATTGACTTGTTCTGCACCAGACACGTGTGTATTCAGGGACACACACATGTGAGTGCCCACAGCAATATCAATAGCTCGGCCAACTTGACTTCTTCTGCAACACACACATGTTTTGCCAAACTTGTTGAAGGTTCAGAACCTTCACATGACTTCTTGATTGGAGTATTCTGCAGCACACCGTGTGTGTGTTCACAGCGACAATTGGTGGGCCAACCCTCAGCTGATTTCTTCTGCAGCACGTGTGTGTGTGTGTGCTCACTGCAGCAGTCAGTCTGCCAAAGTTTTTAAAATGATCGAAGCTTCAATTGATTTGTTCTGCACCGGACATGTGTGCATTCAGAGACACACATGTGTATGCTCACAGCAGCAATTGGTAAGCCAGCCCTTGACGTTTGGGTGCAGCCCTCAATTGATTTCTTGTTCTGCAACACACATGTGTGTGTGCCCACCGCAGCAGTTGTTTTGCCAAAGTCGTTGAATGTTCAGAACCTTGACATGACTTCATTTTTTGAATTATTCTACAACACCATGTGTGTGTGTGTTCACAGCAGCAGTTCGTCGGCCAACATCAGGTGATCTCTTCGGCAAGACATGTGTGTGTGCTCACAGCAGCAGTCGGTCTGCGAAAATTCTTTAAATGAACCAAGCTTCAACTGCCTTTTTCTGGGCCAGACGTGTGACAGCAATTGGTCTGCCCTTGACCCTTGGGTGCTCCCTTCGATTGACTTCTTCTGCAACACACATGTGTGTTTGTGCTCAGACCAAGAATGGTTTGCCAAAGTTGCTGAATGCTCAGAACCTAAACTTGACCTTTTCGTTAGGTTAATTTGCAACACACATGTGTGTTCACAGCAACAATTGGTCGGTCAATCTTCTGTTGGCCTCCTTTGCAAACCCATGTGTGTGTGTGTGCTCACAGCAGCGATCGGCCTGCCCAAGTTGTTGTTCTGCACCAGACATGTGTGTATTCAGAAACACACATGTGTATGCCCACAGCAGCAATTGGTCGGCCAGCCCTTGAACCTTTCGTGCAACCCAATAATGGAGGGAGTTTTTTTGTAACAACCATTTGTGTGTGCTCACCGCTGCCAAAAGTTGCTGAATGTTCAGAACCTACACTTAACTTCATCGTTGGATTTTGCTGCAACACCATGTGTGTGTGTTCACAGCAGCAATTGGTCGGCCAGTCCAGGTGATCTCTTCGGCAACACATGTGTGTGTGTGTGCTCACAGCAGCAGTCGGTCTGCCAAAGTTTCTACAATGATCCAAGCTTCAATTGACTTGTTCTGCACCAGACACGCGTGTATTCAGGGACACACACATGTGTGTGCCCACAGCAATAGCTCGGCCAACTTGACTTCTTCTGCAACACACACATGTTTTGCCAAACTTGTTGAAGGTTCAGAACCTTCACATGACTTCTTGATTGGAGTATTCTGCAGCACACACGTGTGTGTGTTCACAGCGACAATTGGTGGGCCAAGCCACAGTTAGATTTCTTCTGCAACATGTGTGTGTGTGTGTGGACTCCTCTCGTGCATGAGGTAAGGGGCTCACCGCCCATCGTTTCGCAGGGGCACGGAGGGGGTGCAAGGGAGCTCCGTCCAACGAAGCTTTCCCCTGCACCCTAGGGCCCTAGGGAAAACGTACGTGCATTGCCTACGCCTGGGCCCCGTCGTGGGCAGCTGGCTGATGGGTTGATGGGTTGGATCGGTGTGGTCGGTGTTGGAATGATCGGTGTGTTCGGTGTCGGTGTGGTGTTTGCTGTTTGCTGTCGGGGTCGTTGTCGGTGTCGTTGGTGTCGGTGTCAGCTTCGGTTCCGTCGATGGTCTGGCGGTGTGGTCAGTTCCGGTGTCGCTGTGATTGATGTCGATGCGATCGGTGTCGGTGTGTTCGGTGTCGGTGTGATCGGTGTGGTCGGTGTCGGATTGATCAGTTTGATCGGTTTGATCGGTGTCGGTGTGATGTTTGTTGTTGTAGTCCTTGTCGGTGACGGTGTCGGTGTCGTCGGTGTTTGTGAGTATTGGTGTCGTCGGTGTTTGTGTCGGTGTGGTCGGTGTCGGGCTGGTCAGTGTCGGTGTGATCGGTTTCGGTTTGATCCGTGGCAATGTGATTGGTTTGATCAGCGTGTTTCTGTGGCCAGTGTCGGTGTGATCGGTGTCGGTGTGATTTTTGTGATGGATGTGAACGGTGTAATCGGTGCCGGTGGACCAGTGCGGTCGGTGTGGTTCGTGTGATCGGTGTCAGGTTGATCGGTGTGATCGGTTGAGTCGGTGTGATCGGTGTCGGCATGATCGGTGTGAGCGGCGTGATCGGTGTCGGTGTGGTGTCTGCTTTCGCGGTTTTTGTTGGTGTCGTTGTCGTCGGTGTCGGTGTCAGTGTCATCGATGTCTTGTTGGTGTGGTCAGCATCGGTGTCGGTGTGATCGGTGTCGATGTGGTCGGTGTCGAAGTGGTCGGTGTGATCGTTGTCGGTGTGGCCAGTGTGGTCGGTGCGGTGAGTTTGTTCGGTGTCGCTGGGTCGGTCTGATCGATTAGATTAGATCGGTGTCGATGTGATGTTTGCTGATGTGGTCTTTGTCGGTGTCGATGTCGGAGTCGTCGTTGTGGTCAGTGTTGGTGCGGTGAGCTTCGGTGTGATCTGACCGGTGTTGTGTTATCGCTTTCAGCGTGGTCGGTGTCACTTCTGGTCGTTGTCGGTGTGTTTGTTTGGCCAGTGTCTGTGTGATCGGTGTCGGTGCGATTCGTGTGATTTTTGTGATCGGTGTTGAATGGTGTAGATTATAATCGTTGTCGGTGTGACCAGTGTGGTCCCTGCGTTTGGTGTGATCGATGTCGGATGATCGGTGTGATGGGTTGATGGGTTGGATCGGTGTGGTCGCTGTTGGAATGATCGGTGTGTTCGGTGTCGGTGTGGTGTTTGCTGTTTGCTGTCGGGGTCTTTGTCGGTGTCGTTGGTGTCGGTGTCGGCTTCGGTTCCGTCGATGTTCTGGCGGTGTGGTCAGTTCCGGTGTCGCTGTGAGTGGCGTCGATGCGATCGGTGTCGGTGTGTTCGGTGTCGGTGTGATCGGTGTGGTCGGTGTCGGATTGATCAGTTTGATCGGTTTGATCGGTGTCGGTGTGATGTTTGTTGTTGTAGTCCTTGTCGGTGACGGTGTCGGTGTCGTCGGTGTTTGTGAAGGTATTGGTGTCGTCGGTGTTTGTGTCGGTGTGGTCGGTGTCGGGCTGGTCAGTGTCGGTGTGATCGGTTTCGGTTTGATCCGTGGCAATGTGATCGGTTTGATCAGCATGTTTCTGTGGCCAGTGTCGGTGTGATCGGTGTCGGTGTGATTTTTGTGATGGATGTGAACGGTGTAATCGGTGCCGGTGGACCAGTGCGGTCGGTGTGGTTCGTGTGATCGGTGTCGGCATGATCGGTGTCGGTGTGGTGTTTGCTCTCGCGGTCTTGTCGGTGTCGTTGTCGTCGGTATCGGTGTCAGTGTCATCGATGTTTTGTTGGTGTGGTCAGCATCGGTGTCGGCGTGACTGGTGTGGTCGATGCGATCGGTGTCGAAGTGGTCGGTGTGACCGTTGTCGGTGTGGCCAGTGTGGTCGGCGCGGTGGGTTTGTTCGGTGTCGGTGTGAAAGGTGTGGTCGATGCGATCGGTGTCGAAGTGGTTGGTGTGATCGTTGTCGGTGTGGCCAGTGTGGTCGGTGCGGTGGGTTTGTTCGGTGTCGGTGTGACATGTGTGGTCGGCGTGATCGCTGTCGGATGGGTTGGTGTGATCGATTAAATCGGTGTCGATGTGATGTTTGCTGATGTTGTCTTTGTCGGTGTCGATGTCGGAGTCGTCGGTGTGGTCAGTGTCGGTGTGGTGAGTTTCGGTGTGATCTGACCGGTGTTGTGGTATCGCCTTCAGTGTGATCGGTGTCACTTGTGGTCGTTGTCGGTGTGATGTTTGTTGTTGTGGTTTTCTTCGGCGTCGATGTTGGTGTCGGTGTCGTCGGTGTTTGTGTCGGTTTCGTCGATGTCGTGTTGGTTTTGTCCGTGTCGGTGTGGTCAGTGTCGGCGTGATCGGTGTCGGTGTGAGTCGATGTGATCCGTGTGATCGATGTGAAGGGTGCGGTCAGTGTCGGTGTGATCGGCATTGGTGTGACCGTTGTGGTTGGTTTGATTTTTGTCGGTGCGATCGATGTCTGTGCAGTCGGTGTCGGTGTGGCGTTTGTTGTTGTGGTGTTGGTCGGCATGTCGTGCGTGTTTGAGTCGGTGTCGTTGATGTCTTTTTGGTGTGGTTGGTGTTGGTGTTGTCATTGTTTTTGTGATTCCTGTCGGTATGTTTGGTGTCGGTGTGTTCGGTGTTTGTGTGACCGGTGTTGGTGTAGCCCGTGGGCGTCGGTGCGGTCGGTGTGGGGTCGGTCGGTCTCGATGTTCTCTGTGCAGGTGGTGTCGGTGGTTTCGTCGTTGGTGTGTCTGTCGCTGGATTCGGTGGTGTTGCTGTGATCGGTGTGTTCGTTGTGTTCTGTATGTCCGTGTGCTCGGTGCAGTCGGTGTCGTTCTGATCGGTGTGACGTTGTAACCGTTCACGTCGCGGCGCCGTCGTGGTGTCTAGCACATGCAGCCACCACTGCCGTCGCCGCACGTATTGTCAACGCCGTCGTTGCCGTATCCGTTGATGCCGTAAGCACGCAGCCACTCAGCCAGAGTTGCTTTCCCCGCGACACACGCAGCTATTGACGCCATATGCGCGCAGCCGGAACAGCCGCATAACGCATGTGGCCGACGAACGCTCTCCTGTTTCGCTGCCGCCTCTGGGTGGCACATGGCGCCGTAGCCGTTGCCACTGCGCAATTGCAGCCGCAGCAAACCCTTGCCGAGACAACCGCGCCCGCCAGACTTTCTTATGTCGAGCCGCCGCCGCTGCTGCGTAGCACGTGCAGCCGCCACTGCGCTCGCCGCACGTAAGATGTAAAGCCTGCAAACGACCCTGCGCTGCCGACGCCGCCACCGTCAACGCTGTCGCCGCCGTCGCTGCTGTAGCTTGTGACGCCGTAAGCACGCAGTCGGACCCACCGCCGTTACGACAGTCGCAGCTGTTGACGCGCGCCGTATGCATGCAGCCGAAGCTACCGCTGCCGTGACAGCCGCTCGACGCAAATGCCTGCCGCTGCTGTGGCGCCGCCGCGCCTGGTGTTTAGCACATGCCGTGACAGCCGCCCTGTGGCCGCCGCTGCTTTTTTTCTTGTCGCCGCCGCTGGGTAGCACATGATAGCACATGCAGCTACCACGTCGTAGCCACACGTACACGCCGCGGACACAGACGGTAGCATTCTAATATCCAGGTGCCGATAAAACCGGTCGTAAAAGGAGATGTTGCTAAGCAAATGTTGGTGAACAATTTGCCACGTGCGGCAAGTGACGTTGGCACCCCGAAAGTAGAACTTGGTGAGCAAAGACAAAAACCTCAAAAGATATCTTTCTGAGTTTTTATACAAATAAACCTGGCGAGGAATTGTTGGTTAGCAAACTCGAATGCATAAAATAAATGAGATGTTGTGGTTGGTGAGGACACTTTGAAGACCGAAGGGTGATGTTGGCTTGGACACCCTAGACCCGCAAAAGGAGATGTTGGTGAACACACCTTGACGATAAATGACGGTGATCAGGCCTGCACGGGAGGTCTCGGTGAGCAAAACCCCAGCCTTAAAAACATGTGTTGGTGCGCAAACCTAACACATTGGCAGGTTAAAAGAAGTGCTTGCCTGTTTTGCTCTTGACGTGAGATTGTGAATATGTGATTCTACGCAAGATTTGCGTGCTTGTGCAATATCCGTTCTTCATCCCGCCATCCTCCATGTTACTGTCACTCTATACAGTGTTGTTTTTTGCTTGCACCCGTGGCCTGTAGCAATTATTTTTGGCAAACCGCCGCTGTGAGCACCGCTTTGCGCTCTTTTGCTTCCCCTCGCACTCGCACTCGCACTTTGACTTGTCCCTGCACAAGGCCGTACTGTGTTCGGTATGGGCAGGATCGATGTGTGCGCATGTATGTGCCTTGTGCCCGAGGAACGATGCGTGCTGCTGTGTTGGTCGTTGTGTCCTTGCTGTTGCTGGCATGGGCTGGGCCCGATGACGAAGGTGCGGCGGTCCTGCTTGTTAACCCCTTGGAGAGCAAGAGCGGTAATGACAGCAACAACGACACCAGCAACACTAAGGCCGACCCCCGGTGCGAGATCTTGGCTACAATCCTTTGACGGGAGAGTGGGACGATAATGGTCCTGGCACAGAACAAGTCGTCGAAGGCGAAGGCCGTTCATGTGTTCTGTCCGTCGCATTCGCACGTAGTATATGACTCTTTGTACACGCCGTATGTTCCATGCTGAAACAGCAAGGTGATTCTCCAGACTTCCCACCCACGGAAGCAGACAACTCGGAGCTTCCCGGCGACATTCCGGATCTGGACTCGCTCTTGTTATCCGAGGACGAAGAAGGAGAGGGTTCCGAAGAAGTTCCAGCCACTCCTGTGCCAGATCTATCGCTGCACCACACCATCACCGAAGCCTTCGCAGCGCTGGACATATCATTTGAGGACTTATGGGCTAAACCCGCCACTGAGTGGAACAAGGTAATTGAGAAAGCTTATCGCTCACAGGCTCTGCGCCAGCACCCGGACCGCAACCCCGGCCGGGCTAAAGAAGCGCATCAGGCCATGATCCATTTAGGAGCTCAGCGGGACGTCCTTCGCGACTTTGTCGACCATTGGACCACAATCCGCCGCTACCTCGGGCGTCATCGGCCTACATGCTTTTGCTCTCTTTGCTGTGAGCTTTGGGGCCGGATGACGCGGTGCAAATTCTGTCTTGGCACCAATAAAAAGCATGGCCACAAAGGTTGTGGTCTGACAAAGGAAGCGTCATACTTCCAGCGGAACCATTTCGCTTGGTACCCTACGTTCTTGCGGCACATAGCGCACGGCGCAGAGGCGGTGGAAGCCAAACGCCGCGTCGATATGGAGCGGCGTCTTCAAGAAGGCCGCGCCAAAACAAAAGCGAAGCTGGAAAAAAAGAGGCGACAGAGAGACGAAGAGGAACAACAGATTCTGTTCGACCAGCGGTTGGCCGAGGCTCTGCAAAAAGCAGAGCAAGAGGTCACAGAGGAGTGGGAAAGGGAACACGGGAAGCCAACTGCACGCGTCGAGGACTGTGTTTCTTTCCGGTATGCCGTAGTCTAATCCGGTATAGGAACTTGTCCCTGCTTGCAGGATCGAGGACCTGGACGATCTCGTGGTGTATCCTCCACTGCGACGCACAGTCAGATCGCTGCAGCTGGACAAGCAGTTCCCCCCGTGCCACCAGCAGCGCCAACGCATCCGTCTGGCCCGGTGTCCTTCCGCCCCCCTGCGGCCTCGGCCTCCCTGCCTGTTCCACCCCTCCGCCGTCCAGCGGCAAATCCTGGTGCTAGCACCAACCCCAACTTTAGACCTCCCCTCCGCCGTCCAGCATCACCGGGTGGTAGCCCGGCCGGAAAAAAACCTAGGCACGGCGGCGATGTCACAGACGACGAGGAGCTGGAGCCGCCGCCGCCCGGTGATGAGCCGTGGAGCGCACCTCCTCAAAGACGCCCTCTTCCCCCGGGCTACACCGTCCCACCTGCGCCGCATTGGCTGGCCCTCAATCGGGCGGGCAAGTGTCACTGGTGTCCGTTTTGCGAACGGACCACGGCACGATGGGAAGCCCGTCTAATGAGAGTTTCTGGAAAAATACTCTGTTGGTTCCGCTGCACGAAGTATCCTGGGTGCGATTTTGCCTGGGACGCGGACCGGGGGCTTCTGCCGCCGAAGGCTCCCGGTAAAAGATCCAGACCCTCCACGGCCAAGAAAGATGAGAGAGATGACGAGGATGGCAAGGACAAGGATGCCGATAAGGACAAGGACGACAACGAGCGCGACGACCTGCCAGAAGCCGACGAGTAGGGTGGCTTGATTTTCCGCTTCTATTTTGCTCGCGCATCTGGAGCCGGTCCCTTTTCACGGCCCGTGGGCGTTAATAGCGCAACACAACATTTCGGAGAAAGATGTCAGCTGTTTGCAATCTGTCACGCCGTCTTGTTCGAAGATATTCCGCAGTGTTGCTTTTTTAAACACACCCACGTGATGAAGCAGCAGTGAAACAATTTGTTTCACACCTCGACATCACGCACACACACACACACACACACACACACACACTACTTCTTGAGCCTGGCCCATACCTTAGGTTGTGGCTGCTCACTGAGAGTTTGCGCCGGTGGAGCTTCAGTACTTACTTCTAGCGTCGGGTTGTTACATGCAACAACAAAT